CAAGTGCGGAGACCAGGGCTCCATCCCTGGGAGCGCTGAGCCGACCACCAAGTCTGGGCGTGCTGGCGTGCGCCTGTAATCCCAGCACTAGGGAGGCCGAAACAAGAGGATCGCTACGACTCTGAGCTGTATAGTGATACCCTGTACCAAATATATTTTTAAAAAATTAGCGCAGCAAGTATAGACTCTCAGGGCCAGCACTTCAGGGTTGCGTTTGGATTCTGGATGGAAGTGCAGTCCAAAGGCCCCTGAAGGTCTCGGCACTCACTCTGACTGGGCCAGCGGAAGCCGCGCTTACCATCTCCTCCCGGGTCCTCATTCTCATCATCTTGGCATGCAACTGAACTCTGTAGTCATCATAGTATTTTCGGGCACGAACAATTTGCTGGCGATTTTCTTTTATCTTTGATTGGGTCAACCTCTGTCTACGAATGCGGTCCCTGAAGTCTTGCTAGGAAAGGGAAGCAAAAAAGGGGCCTGAGAAGAGGCCCACGAGCATGCCCGCCCGCCCACTCCTGCTGCAGTATGTGTAAGGAGCCAGCACCCACACCGACCGGGGCCGCGGCCTGCACGGCGCGAGCATCAGCCCCAGAACCCTGGCGCTCAGCCTCAGCCACCCCACTCGGGGCCGGCCGGGCGCTCCTGAGGCTGCGGGCAGTGGCCACCCCCTGGGCACACACCTGCCGCAGCCTCGCTTCCCCACTCCAGCAGGGCTCAGTGCCACCCAGTACCACAGCAACAGGAGGGGGAAGTGGCATCCTGCGACTTGCAAGCAAAGCCTGAGTTGTCACAAGCTGAAACAGGCCAAAACTGTAGAAACCAGACAATTTCTAAGGCAGGCTGTGAGGTCCTGCAGAAAGCCCCCAACCTGGGTGTTAAGGTATTAGGGTCTTCTCCCACACCACAGCTCTGTGTGCAGCTGCGACAGCTTTTTGCACTGCTGAAGACTCAGAAGTCCACATGGCAGCTGGGCGCAGTGGCGCACGCCTGTAATCCCAGCACTCAGGAGGCTGAGGCAGAGAATCAGCACGGGTTCAAGGCCAGCCTGGGCTACACAGTTCAAAGCTAGCCTGAACTGCAAGGTGAGACCCTGTCTCTTAAAAAAAAAAAAAAAATCTCATGGCTTGCTCATCAATGAGAGGCTTTGAAATTTTTTCCTTTGGCAGCTTCTCCAACCTCTCCCTTTACTACACAGGGAAGAATGTGCTACAGCTCACACTCACCCTGAGTAGTGATGGGCCTGGGCCCTGAGAAAGACCGGAGATGGCAAAAAAAAAAAAAAAAAAGCTACAACCATCTGGCACCTAGAAGGGGCTGTGGAGGTAGAAATGCAGCCAAATCCCAATCTCAGCTACAGCTTTCGCTCTTCCTGGGAGACCCACGGACAGTTACTCAGCACTGCAAAGCCTTACATTCTCATTTCCTAGAAATCCTGCTTTGTAATTTGTCGCTATAAAGACTGAGCCTGGAATGAAGTACCATTACTTCCTCCTCCCTTGATTTTGGTTAAAGCCCTTAATGCGCCTAGTGTACCCAGCTGTACAGATAAGGGTAAGGAACGTCACTTCCACGTTCAGAGTTAGTGTCCGCCTTGCCCTTGACATACCAATCTCTTGTTATGTTCATACTCCTTCTTGACAAGGGCAGTAAGGAGGTCATGCCGTCTCAGAGCCTCTTCTATCTTAAAGGGAAGAAGGGCAGCATGAGGCAAGCAGGTTAATAACATCGGTCAAGGAAGCTCTTCCCTTTCTGCCTTATAAATCTTACGCTTTCAGCCAACAGTAACTTACTTCATCACGGAGTTTCCTCTTGGATCGACTATCTCTACACGCATCTTTTCTCAGCTGTTCAACATGTGCAATTTGCTTTTTCCACATTTTGCTTAGTGTTGGGCCAGAGACATAGAGAAATGGAAACTGCTCCAGCATCAGGGGCAGGAGACTATGTTCATTTACTTTCACTGAAAGGAAAAATGAGATGCTTTTGAGCTGACACACACTGTCAAAAACTTTGCCACCTGTGTGGTGGTGGTACTGAAAAGAACCATTGTAAGTGAACTTGTCAGATCCGAGTTCCTTCTTCGATAGGCCAGCTACTGGCAGGGATGGAGACAGCGCAGCAGTTCTGATGGACCATGCCTGGTCCTGACAGCTGCGCAGCCACCGAGGGCCTGTGGACAGACGCTGCATGCGGATGGACAGAGAAGACTCCTCAGCTCTCCTGGCAGGCAAGTGCTTAGCTCTGTCTGGGGGAGGTAGGTGGAAGGCCAGAGGTCCGTGGGGACAGCTGGAAGCCTAGCATTTCATATGACCTTGCTTCCTTGAAACAAGACCCCAACATGCAATGGTTCCAACTCTTAATATGTAAGAAGCCAAACAGGGCTGGGGAAACAGCTCAGTGACATAGCACCTGCCTGGCAAGCATGAGGTCCTACGTTTAATTCCCAGTACCAAAAAAAAAAAAAAAAAAAA